TCTGGATAATAATTCTTTATTACACGCAATACAAATATATTTACATTTTTCCAAAGAACTAAAAAAATTTTTTGCTGTTTTCTGAAACGTGTAAGCATAGAACTGGAGACTTTTCTTCGCATTTTAAAGACTGGAAATGAGGTACTCTAGTATTTTGAAAACTGCCTTAGGTAATACCACAATTTAGTTTAGCATAAAATGGCATAGTCATGCATAGGTTTTTTTCTCACCCCTTTTTTTATTGTGATAAGAATATTTTACATGAGGTCTACTCTCTTAACAGATTTTTTTTTTTTTGCGGTACACGGGCCTCTCACTGTTGTGGCCTCTCCCGTTGTGAAGCACAGGCTCCGGACGCGCAGGCTCAGCGGCCATGGCTCACGGGCCCAGCTGCTCCGCGGCATGTGGGATCTTCCCGGACCGGGGCACGAACCCGTGTCCCCCGCATCGTCAGGCGGGACTCTCAACCACTGCGCCACCAGGGAAGCCCTCTTAACAAATTTTTAAGTGTACAGTATAGTATTGTTATATACAGTATAGGCACAGTGTTGTACAGCAGATCTCTAGAACTTACCTTGCATAACTGAAATTTGTACATGTTGATTAGAAACTCTCATATCCCCGTACTGTAGCTCCTGTTAGCCACCATTCTATTCTTGGCTTCTTTGAGTTTGAGTACTTTAGATACCTCATATAAGTGGAATCATCCAGTATTTGTCCTGTGACTGGCTTGTTTAACTTAGCATAATGGCCTCAAGGTTTATTTATGTTGTCACAGTTGCAGGACTTTCTTTTCTTTTAAAATTGAATAATATTCTGTTGCATGTATATGCCGCATTTTCTTTATCCATTCATATCTTTTTTTCTTCATCCATTCACAAGATTGTTTCTGTATCTTGGCTATTGTGAATAGCGCTGCAGTGAACTTGGGAGTGCTGTTTCTTCAGGATTCTGATTCCAGTTCTTTTTGATAAATACCCAGAAGTGGGATTGCTGGATCATATGGTACTTCTACTTTTTATTTTTTTGAGGAACTTCACCGTAACTGTTTTCCATAGCAGCTGCACCATTTTGCATTCTCACCAACAATGTACAAAGGTTCCACTTTCTCCACATCCTCACCAACACTTGTTGTCTTTTGTTTTTTTGATAATAACTATCATAACAGCTATGAGGTGATATTTCATTGTGGTTTTGATTTGTATTTCCCTTATGATTAGTGGCATTGAGAATCTTTTCATATACATGTTGGCCATTTGTATGTCATCTTTGGAGAAATGTCTATTCGTATTTTTAGCCCATTCTGTAATTGGGTCATTAGTTTCTTTGCTGTTGAGTTGTAGGAGTTCCTTATGTATTTTGGAGATTAACCCGCTGTCAGATACGTGGTTTCGAGATACTTTCTCCCATTACATATGTTGCCTCTCACTGTTGTTTCCTTTGCTGTGCAGAAGCTGTTTAGTTTAATGCAGTCCCACTTGTCTGTTTTGGCTTTCATTGCCTGATTGCAAATATTTTTGATCAGTCTTTGGCTAGTCTTATCGTGTCTTTTGACATACGTAAGTATTATATTTATACTTTTATATATATTATATTTATTTTCTTTATTTTTTTGCTTTTTGTGTCATGCTTGAGAAATCCTTTCCTACATCATAAAGTTATAGAAGATATTTTCTTCTTTAACATTTTAAAGCTGTGCTTTTCACATTTATTTTGGATGTATAACGTGAGGTAGGAAAAATTTTCCCCAAGTGATAACGATTTGTCCTAGTACCATTCATTGAGGAGTCCATTCTTTCCCCACTGATTTATAATGTCATTTTGGTCCTACACATCTCTATTCTGTTCTGTTCCTTCGTTTATTCCTCTAATACCATGCTATCTTAATTACTGTGGCTTTAACAGTAGGTCTTAATATCATGTAGCGAAAGTTCTCCCTCTTGTTTTACCTAGAAAAGTGTTTCTGTTATTCTTGGCCCTTTGCTATTCCATATGAATTTTAGGATCAGACTTGAGTTTTCTAAAAATTCCTGTAGAGATTTTGATCGGAAGCATTATAAAGGTTGAATTTATTGAAATCATAGATTAATTTGGAGAGAATTGACATCATATGATACTCATTTTTCCCCACCCAGTTTCCCACCTGTTTATCTCTTCCATGAAAAAAAAAAATGCAGTAAAAGAAGTCCATTTAGAGCACACATAAATATGTTCTAGTATATCTTTTCCTAGTAAAACCTTACAGTTTTTTTTTTTTTTTTTTTTTTTTTTTGGTACGTGGGCCTCTCACTGTTGTGGCCTCTCCCGTTGCGGAGCACAGGCTCCGGACGCGCAGGCCCAGCGGCCATGGCTCACGGGCCCAGCTGCTCCGCGGCATGTGGGATCTTCCCGGACCAGGGCACCAACCCGTGTCCCCTGCATAGGCAGGCAGACTCTCAACCACTGCGCCACCAGGGAAGCCCCTAAAACCTTACAGTTTTTGTTGCTGTACAAATGGATCTTTTTTCCTGTTTTATAATCTAAGTGGTTATTACTAGTGAGTAGGAATATTAAGGATTTTTATGTTAATCTTTCATTTAGTAGCTTTGCTGATTTATTAGTTCTAATAGTTCTAAATAATTTACCTGTACATTCTTTTGGAATTATTACGTAGAAAATTATTTGGTTTGTCAATGCAATTTTGTCTCTTAGTGCTTCATTTTGTACTTGATTTATTGCATTAACTAGGGCCTCTATCCAGTATTAAATAGAAGGCACCTTTTTTTCCTTGATTTTAGTGGGAATGCATCTAAAATTTTATTATTATGGATGGTGTTCACTACAGTTTTTTAACATATTCTTTATCTGTTCTGTGATGCCATCATCCTGAATTTAAGAATGGTTCTTACTCAAATCAGAATCTTGTATGCAGTTAAAAAAATGTATACATCTGACTTCATTCCCAGATACTCTGCTATCTAGAGTTTAGGGATTTGTACTTTTAAAAGCATTGTGGGTGATCAGAGATTTTTTTGTTTTTGTTTCCATTTGGAGGTTGAATTTTAGTGAATGGTTTCTACATCAGATGAAATAAATGATCATATGTTTTTTAAATTGATAGTATGGTTGTCAGTAATAGATTTTCTATTGTTGAACTCATTCATACATTTCTAGAATAAATGAGTAGGCTCCCAGTAATAGACCCGGGCATGATACAGGATGATCAGGAAGGACTAGAATGATGATAACAATAATAATGGAAAATGTAAAGTAGGTAGAAAGGAGAAAACATTTAAAAAGGGTATTAACTTTGATATTAAAATGCTTTAAATCAGGAGTTTTGTGATTGCATACCCCACCAGTGAAAAAAATTGAGCATGTACTCTGAGTATGTGTGTGTTTATTTTAAAACTATGCATGTGTTTTATAGTACTGATACTTTATGCATAACATGCAAAATTTGAGATAAAGATGAAAAAGTTACTTTAAAAATAAGTTTGCTTTCATTCTTAAAGTTTTATTACTGTTTTTATTGAAAACAATACGGTTGACTATGATTTCTAAAACTTCTTAAAATCTTGGTTTAATACAGTGACAGTAATTTAAAGATTTCGATTAAATTCACTTTACTTTGATACTTGGTCTTGATGACTCTCATGGCTGAAAAGATAACCTACAACACACAGTACAGATCCAAATGGAAGAGTATGTCATAGGTTGAGATTCCTATATTTTTCAGTCCCATTTGGTAAATATTAAAAGGGCTTTTGTTGAAATTTTCCATAGTCTCTGATTATGTTATAGTTGTTCTTACAAACGAATCGGAAGTTTTTATATTTTATTAGGGCATGTTCAAAACCCAATGATTATCTTTATTTGGAAGATTTAAAAACAGTTTAGAAAAACCTGTTACCAAGTTTAAATGTATAGATATGAGATTTTTAAAAAATAGGTGACATACTGCTTTTGGTAAATTCATAACATCCCTTTAACACATGCACTCTCCGTAGTTTGAATTTATTTTGAAAAGCAGTTTTTAGTCTCCACATTGTTAAAATACCACCTTTACCTGCAGAGACAGATTAATAACTGCTAAAAAGATGCAAAATAGTGGTTTAATAGTCTATTTGGGCAGGGAAGCTTTCTTGCAGAGAATGTGTGTGGAGACAACAGTATTTTCACAGAAGGGAAATGACTGTCATTGGAGAACATCTGTTAGGTAGATGATACAGTATTGCTTGTCCTTTTGTAAAAGAAAAATGAAAAGTCAGTTTTCTAAGTTTCACAACAGTTTTTTTGGTCCACTACCTATCTCATTTTTATTTTAGTGTTTCTGCTATTGAAAGGCCTTGTTTTTATAAAATTGACTGCATTGATGAAATTCTGTAATGCATGACTGACAATCCTCATATGGAATGCCCACTTTTCTCTCACGATTTCTCTGATACTGCATAAGACATGACTCTGGCATGGGGTCCCAGTGAGGACATCAAGTTATTCTGTATATTAAATGTTGGAAAGCCTAGTTCCTTTTTGGAAAATATAAACATAATGAACATTCAAATATTTTTTCCTAACCTACTCCATTTAGGAGTTGTAGCATCATTTTGGATGCTACAACCTTAAACTATATCCTAGTTACAAGTCAAGAAGTTCACAAATTCTTGATTCTACCCCAGCATTCAAAAACTAACTAGTCCAGGTAGAGGTAGGGGAGTCTCTTAATTTGAAAGTCTAAAGGACCTGGGGAAATGTTCATGCTATGGATTTAAGACAATTCTGCAAAATACTATATTCTCTATACTTTTGTAACTATGCCTAAATTAAGTTTTAAAGGACCTCATAAGCAGTCTTCTTATCACAATTTATTTGAAAAGTAATTAATGCCATAATTATATCATAGTTCAGAACTATTTGAAGTTCAGGCTTTTCAAACAAATTCAGAGTGGTTGTCTTTATTAGCAGTTAATGAATATTACTTGAAGTATTAACTTCTCCCCCTCCCCCCCATGCCTCTTAAGTAATAGGAGTGAAACATCCACATCTGATAACACAGAAACGTATCAAGAGAATACAAGGTAAGCTTTTGAATTTCTATTATTTTAGTAAACAATACCTATCACTGTGTAATAATGGATTTTTAAATTTAAAAAAATTTAAATTCAGTTAAATCATCAGACATAATGCATAAGTTAGCAGTTTAGAAATAAATGATGCAGTTGCTTTTACAGGTCACATTAAATTAGAAGCATGTAGCTCTCCTCTTTCACTGTGGTCCGATTTCTTCCATGCATAATTTAGGCAGAGTTGCCAATACTGAATTGTCCCTTGCTGAAATTGAGATATTAAAACCCAGTGATGCCTGATCCTCAAAATATTTTGAAATGTTGATCATTCTGATGGCTGATGCTTTTGTTTTTCACTTTTCCTATGAATTTTGTATGTTAGAGTCTTAGAACTAGGATAAATTAAAGATACACCATATGGATGTAAGTCTTTTAAAAGTTTTAATTTCCTAGATATGGTGTTTCCATACTGGGACACCATGGGATATTTAGAATTTTCAAGGGACATACAGTGACATCTATTAGTTACAGGAATGACTAAGTTAACTTGTTTGAATCTAGCTACTTTAATAAATGAGACAGCTAGGTTTGTTATTATTTTTGTTTAGGCCTCTTGTAGAGGCACCATGAAAAAATTTCCTAGACACTAAGGGTACTGTAAACTGAGATTGTTTAGGAATATCTATTGTAGATTATTTATTGAAAACATAGTTTTTTAAAAGTGAGACAATCTTTGATTAGTCTATAATTATAACTTTTAAAGAAAGAAATAATAATTGGTCAAAAAATAGGAGCTCATCATTTTTATGTTATGATTTCAAATTCAGTATGCTGCATTTAAAATTGTTTTATAGTTCTTCTGGGCATCCCACCTTTAAGTGTCCCTTGTGTCAAGAATCAAATTTTACCAGACAGCGTTTACTGGATCACTGTAATAGTAATCACCTATTTCAGATAGTTCCTGTGGTAAGTATGTATGTTTAAGACAGTCTTCTGTTTAAGGTATGCTGTCCCATTTATTTCACTTCATTTGTACAAGGGAAAGTGGTTACTTTAAATTTTGTGGGGCATTGTCAGTAAGGTATATTTTGTCAACAAAGGATTGATGACTGTGAAGCAAAATGAGATATTTAAAATCCCAGTAACTAACTTATAAAAAGGCGTATGCTTAATTGTGAGGGTAAAGTACGAAAATAGCCTGGAAAAGAGTGAAATAAGAAAAGGTGAACTGAGGACTCATTACCAAGCAGTAGCATTGTAAATTGTATCCGTGCAGAGTGTAGTATGTGAGTGCATAAAGCAAGAAAGGAAAAGAATCATACTTTCTTTTTGATGCATACATACCTGTTTTTTTTTTTTACATCTTTATTGGAGTATAATTGCTTTACAGTGGTGTGTTAACTTCTGCTTTATAACAGAGTGAATCAGCTATACATATACATATGTTCCCATATCTCTTCCCTCTTGCGTCTCCCTCCCTCCCACCCTCCCTATCCCACCCCTCTAGGTGGTCACAAAGCACCGAGCTGATCTCCCTGTGCTATGCGGCTGCTTCCCGCTAGCTATCTACCTTACGTTTGGTAGTGTATGTATGTCCATGCCTCTCTCTCGCTTTGTCACAGCTTACCCTTCCCCTTCCCTATATTCTCAAGTCCATTCTCTAGTAGGTCTGTGTCTTTATTCCCGTCTTACCCCTAGGTTCTTCATGACATTTTTTTTTTCTAAATTCCATATATATGTGTTAGCATACGGTATTTGTCTTTCTCTTTCTGACTTACTTCACTCTGTATGACAGACTCTAGGTCTATCCACCTCATTACAAATAGCTCAATTTCGTTTCTTTTTATGGCTGAGTAATATTCCATTGTATATATGTGCCACATCTTCTTTATCCATTCATCCGACGATGGACACTTAGGTTGTTTCCATCTCCAGGCTATTGTAAATAGAGCTGCAATGAACATTTTGGTACATGACTCTTTTTGAATTATGGTTTTCTCAGGGTATATGCCCAGTAGTGGGATTGCTGGGTCATATGGTAGTTCTATTTGTAGTTTTTTAAGGAACCTCCATACTGTTCTCCATAGTGGCTGTACCAATTCACATTCCCACCAGCAGTGCAAGAGTGTTCCCTTTTCTCCACACCCTCTCCAGCATTTATTGTTTCTAGATTTTTTGATGATGGCCATTCTGACTGGTGTGAGATGATATCTCATTGTAGTTTTGATTTGCATTTCTCTAATGATTAATGATGTTGAGCATTCTTTCATGTGTTTGTTGGCAGTCTGTATATCTTCTTTGGAGAAATGTTTATTTAGGTCTTCTGCCCATTTTTGGATTGGGTTGTTTGTTGTTTTATTGAGCTGCATGAGCTGCTTATAAATTTTGGAGATTAATCTTTTGTCAGTTGCTTCATTTGCAAATATTTTCTCCCATTCTGAGGTTTGTGTTTTGGTCTTGTTTATGGTTTCGTTTGCTGTGCAAAAGCTTTGAAGTTTCATCAGGTCCCATTTGTTTATTTTTGTTTTTATTTCCATTTCTCTAGGAGGTGGGTCAAAAAGGATCTTGCTCTGATTTATGTCAAAGAGTGTTTTGCCTATGTTTTCCTCTAAGAGTTTGATAGTGTCTGGCCTTAAATTTAAGTCTTTAATCCATTTTGAGTTTATTTTTGTGTATGGTGTTAGGGAGTGATCTCATCTCATACTTTTCTTCCATCTATTTGTATCATCAGTGTCTTATAATTTTCTGCATACAGACCTTTTGTCTCCTTAGGTAGGTTTATTCCTAGATATTTTATTCTTTCTGTTGCAGTGGTAAATGGGAGTGTTTTCTTGATTTCACTTTCAGATTTTTCATCATTACTGTATAGGAATGCCAGAGATTTCTGTTCATTCATTTTGTATCCTGCTACTTTACCAAATTCATTGATTAGCTCTAGTAGTTTTCTGGTAGCATCTTTAGGATTCTCTATGTATAGTATCATGTCATCTGCAAACAGTGACAGCTTTACTTCTTCTTTTCCGATTTGGATTCCTTTTATTTCCTTTCCTTCACTGATTGCTGTGGCTAAAACTTCCAAAACTGTGTTGAATAAGAGTGGTGAGAGTGGGCAACCTTGTCTTGTTCCTGATCTTAGTGGAAATGCATTCAGTTTTTCACCATTGAGGACGATGTTGGCTGTGGGTTTGTCATATATGGCCTTTATTATGTTGGGGAAAGTTCCCTCTGTGCCTACTTTCTGCAGGGGTTTTATCATAAATGGCTGTTGAATTTTGTCAAAAGCTTTCTCTGCATTGACTGAGATGATCATATGGTTTTTCTCCTTCAATTTGTTAATATGGTTTATCACATTGATTGATTTGCATATATTGAAGAATCCTTGCATTCCTGGGATAAACCCCACTTGATCATGGTGTATGATCCTTTTAATGTGCTGTTGGATTCTGTTTGCTAGTATTTTGTTGAGGATTTTTGCATCTATGTTCATCAGTGATATTGGCCTGTAGTTTTCTTTCTTTGTGACCTCCTTATCTGGTTTTGGTATCAAGGTGATGGTGGCCTCGTAGAATGAGTTTGAGAGTGTTCCTCCCTCTGCTATATTTTGGAAGAGTTTGAGAGGTATAGGTGTTAGCTCTTCTCAAAATGTTTGATAGAATTTGCCTGTGAAGCCATCTGGTCCTGGGCTTTTGTTTGTTGGAAGATTTCTAATCACATTTTTAATTTCAGTGCTTGTGATTGGTCTGTTCATATTTTCTATTTCTTCCTGATTCAGTCTTGGCAGGTTGTGCACTTCTAAGGATTTGTCCATTTCTTCCAGGTTGTCCATTTTATTGGCATACAGTTGCTTGTAGTAATCCCTCATGATCCTTTGTATTTCTGCAGTGTCATGTGTTACTCCTCCTTTTTCATTTCTAATTCTATTGATCCGAGTCTTCTCCCTTTTTTTCTTGATGAGTCTGGCTAATGGTTTATCAATTTTGTTTATCTTCTCAAAGAACCAGCTTTTAGTTTTATTGATCTTTGCTATTGTTTCCTTCATTTCTTTTTCATTTATTTCTGATCTGATTTTTATGATTTCTTTCCTTCTGCTAACTCTGGGGTTTTTTTGTTCTTCTTTCTCTAATTGCTTGAGGTGCAAGGTTAGGTTGTTTATTCGAGATGTTTCCTGCTTCTTAAGGTGGGCTTGTATTGCTATAAACTTCCCTCTTAGAACTGCTTTTGCTGCATCCCATATGTTTTGGGTCGTCGTGTCTCCATCGTCATTTGTTTCTAGGTATTTTTTTATTTCCTGTTTGATTTCTTCAGTGATCACTTTGTTATTAAGTAGTGTATTGTTTAGCCTCCATGTGATGCATACATATCTTTTTGATGCCATTTTGAGGGTGTGTATGAGAGTGGTGAGACCTTTTTTGATGACTGAAGGAGAATAGAGCAAAGTGCAGGATTCCAACATTGTGTTAATGGTTCTACAACTCCACATTTGGAGCATGAGTTTCAATTTCAACTGTATATCAAACAGGAGAAACTGAGCTGGAAGAGATACTTCCCTATTTGATATGTAAATATTTTCTTCAGAAATTAGAAGGAAAATGTATCAAAAGATAAAATAAGGATTATGGATACATGTTAGCAATTTTAAAAGAAGTTGTGGAAGAGTATGCCCCAGTATGCCCTTAAAGTCCTGGGTTGCGCTAAGGGAGATACCCTCCCTACTTTGCTCATTAGGAGAGGGTCTGTTACTGTTAAGTAAACAGATACAGTGCCAAAGACATCTCCAGGGGAAAATCTCATATTTAAGAGATTTCATTTGTTTTATATTGCATTAGTGAATTTTTGTTTCTGCATTATATTTAACATAGCCCAAACTTTGGCTATAGTCCAGTTACTAAAGTTCTGTTTTGTTCCATTTCAGCCTGTAATCTGTTCACTTTTTAAGATGTACTTACTTCATTTGAAACCTTAAGGGTACAATTTAAGGCTTCCTTTGCTTTCATCTTACTTATAAATTAAATTAAGCTAATAATAATAGTTATATCACAGTTATTGTGTGGCTCTAATGAGATTACATACTGGTTACTGGTAATTATTATTACAGTTGGTTAAGGCTGGATATGGTGTTTCTGTTAAAACAGTAGAATAATCACATTTAAGTAATAGAATATGTTAGATCTCTCTTTATTGTGTTGTGTTGGATTAGTGTAATTTATCTAAGGTAATTTGGTCTAGAAATAATCTAGTCATGAAATTTGGCCCTTAGAAATGCTTTTCATGTAGATTTTTTTCTAACATGTTTTAATACTTTCAATAGTGATGTTTGGTTATTTTCATTATTTTTTATTTGAAATATTGTGTTTCTTATAGACATGTCCTATTTGTGTGTCTCTTCCTTGGGGAGATCCTAGCCAGATTACTAGAAATTTCGTTAGTCATCTAAATCAAAGACATCAATTTGATTATGGAGAATTTGTGGTAAGTGAGTTTTTCAAGATTAAGAAAATACCATTTAAATATTGAAGTTAAATTAACTTTTTCAATCTAGACTTGAGTTTTGAGGCAAGATGTATCATACTGGATGGTTATAGAGCAAGTTCTGTTGTTTTTATGATAATATAGGTGAATTTTGGTTTGTTTGAATTTACTGTCCACCTTCTATATTAGAGAGATAATTAATAGAGGAAGAGCAAACCCCCAGATTAACAAAATGATATATATGAAAACTGTCTAGATTTAAGGAAAATTATACCTGCTAGAAAAGTAAAATTGGTATGACAGATGGAGGATGTATTTCTCGTGTAGTGTAAGTAGCTTGTTAAACTCATAATAGATTTCTTATATCTGCACGTGAGACACATTCTTTTTAAAAATGAGGGAGTTTATTTATGTAAAGCCAGGTTGAATGGCAGATTCTGGCCTTAACAGAGTACGTGAGGGAAGTTATATAATATAAAAATGGATCCCCAGAGCAAAGCATGAGGTTAATTTCTACTTCCCAAATGTGTCTTGATAGTTACAAAAAAAAATTAGATGACTTTCATTTTATTAATTGTGAAATTGTATTTTATTCATCTTCAATGAATTCAAACCTTATCTAATTCAAGATTCAGCCTGACAAAAGAATGGTTCATACTTGTTTTCCAGTTTATGTAATAAGCACAGACATGTGCAATTCTGAGAATGGCATGAACAGAATTTCCATTTCTTCTGCCCTCCAGTGTTGAAATTATGTCATTCTTAATATATATATTTTTTATTTTGTGTAATTTGCATTTTTTAGTCATACTATATAAAAATGTATATGTAATAATATTTCAAATATATGTAAAATTCAAGTGTACTCTGATAATTTTAGTAGTTTTATGAAGTAATTATAGGTTATTCTTAAATTCTCAATGTAAGAAAGGTTACTGCATCTGGAGAACTATGTGTTTGGAAAAACAAAAATTTATTTTGTGAACTGCTTTTGATCTCATTGTCAGATTGTTTTACCTTGCTACAGAAGAACATGTAATTTCAGTGATTTGAGATTGTCAAATGGAGCCTATTTTAAAGCAAATCCATGGACCATAATTGAAAGGAAATAGAATTTTTCAAGTTATGGAGTAGTAGTATAATCAGATTGAGTGAACTGTAGTTTTTACCTTTATGTTATGATTAAGATGATGTTAATTCAACTGTCTTAATGTAATAAGTGCTTATTTTCTTTAAAATGAATATACCTTCCGACATTGGCATTCTTTTCTAGAGATGACAGAAAATTTATGATTGTGGGTTACCCTTAACTATACTACTTTCAATTAATAACTTATCATAAAGCACTGTAACTCTCAAATTTCATTGTCTGCTGATCATCTGTTGTTTATCAATTATTCCTAAATAATTATAACTGAATTTTTTAAATTAAAAGTTCAGGTATTTAGTGCTTATATTTTAAAGAAGTATATGGTGTAACATAAACTGTTTCAAGTATGTGTAATGTGTATCAAGATGTGTAATGTATTAGACTAAGTATTGAGTATGTTTTTCCTATTGACATGTTAATGTTACTGTTTTTAGAATCTTCAGCTAGATGAAGAAACCCAATATCAAACTGCTGTTGAAGAATCTTTTCAGGTAAACATCTGAAGTCTGTAGATGTCTCTGCATCTTTGTACCTGCAAGTGCCATCTTTAAGGAGAAAACTACATGAAGTCGCCGTTTCAATAACTTGATGTGTATATTAATAAAAGTAATTCAGTCTGTTGTTTTAGTTTTTAATTGAAAAATAAAGGTGGGCCATCTAAAAACTTCATTCTCTTGATAAGTTAAAAGATAAAAGTTAGGACATTATCTTTAAAAGCATTAAAAGGATTACATTTCATTAATGTAATGGTGAAAAGGGAATCCCTGTTGTACTTATCTTTTTATATTACATATTGAATTTTTCCTTGCTTTTGAAATTTGGTGCAGTTCCTCCCATTGACATTATTGTACACAGGTAACACAGTACCAAATTGTGAAAGATGTGATTGATATAAACCTAACAAATCTGAGCCAGTTATTTGAGTTGCAGAATGGAGGCTTGAAGTGCTAAATGAAACAATCCAAAGGAAACTTTTTTAAATACAGATTCTAGCAGAAGAATTCAACTATTATAAGAAAATTGTATTTATATAACGTTTAGTATTTTTGAAGACTAGTGAGATTTCTTTACTAATTTTGACTCTTTAAAAAGTGAAAGCTCATTGTATAGATATTTCCTTTTTGCTGTTAGAAGGAAATATCAAGAGAAAAATTTATTTCTTTGGTGGGCAGTTGGTAATTTCGTATCTTGTTTGTTTGGCTGACTAATTTGTAAGCCTAAAGTACAGTAAGCTGAATTACAGCTCTTTGGCCTCAGAACTTTCAATAGCAGAATTGCTGATTAGCTAAGATGAAACTTTTATTAGAAACTTTCAGTTGGTGATATTACATTCTATATATATATTTAAATGAGAGATTTGACTTCATCTCAGTTTAGAAATTTGTTCAAATCTAAAGATGTATATGCATATATACATACACTTTTGTATGTGTATATATGCATATATGCATGCAGTTTGTCAGGTTATATACAGAATTTCTATTAAGTTTTAAAAAATGCACAAGCAATATGGGATCAAAGTATTTATCTGATTTGATTAAAATTTTGTATGTCACCAAATTTTTAAAGTAACAGTCAAATGCTAAATCATCTACTTGGCTACTATTACACCTTAAAAATGAGTTTACACACCTACACAATTACCTGTTTATATGGTGCTCATTTGTTATCTTAAGGTAATGTGGGACTATAGTAGTGAGATGGATTCTACCAGCCACTCTGTTTCACTACATTTTAGTCAAAAACTGGGTTTGTTCTTAGTATTCATTAATGAGAATCATAAAATAACTTGTACTAGAAGGCCCAAATCACAGAATAAAAGATGAAGAGTGGATTAGCTGACATTCCATACTAATACATTGTTAATGCTTTCTTTAAAATAAATAACTCAAAAGAACATAAAAGAAAGTCTCAGAAGTAGTTTGCTGCTAATATATACATATATTGTATAAAAAGGTATATTTTGATTTTGTTAAAATCCTTGTTGACTTTTTCTACAGTGAACATTTTTTTAACTTGATTTAATAAAAATGTTAATTTTGGAAGTGGAGTTTTGTAAAAACCTTTTTCAGTCAAACAGTAATTTATGGGTAGTAATAACAATCACCAAAAAAGCCATACATGTTAACATATGCCTTGGTTGTGTCATTCGAAAGAGTGATGTTTACTATGTGCTTGAACATTTCTCTGTGGTTACATGAGTGTAATTGTAAGAATAGCTGTTTAACAAACTCTTTTTTAAAAAGACCTGACCATAGGTTTTTCCAGTTTAAGCAATAACTTTAGTACTTTCTTTCAAAATTTAGTACTTCCAGTATGTCAAGTTAAACCATTCTGAGATTTGAGAACTTCTTTAAAGGAAAATTGTAGAGATCATCTTGATGAAATTGTGTTTTGAAGTTTGTGGGTTAGTTAAATATCATTTATAGTCTGGTGTGTCTTTCACATAAGTTTTTTTCGTAAGGAAAATATTGACTTTATTTGCTTTTATCTGGGAGCTCCTCAGTATGGAAATGTTTGTTTAAAACCTCCCATCCTTTTGTCAGTGGATTAGGAATAGGGATTGGCTTTACAGATACACAGTTTAAATTCATGAGACAGTCCTTGTTTTTAATGTGCATAAAGCTGAGTCAGGATAAGGTAGGAAACTGTATTGATACTCTACCTAAATTTCAGAATACCACTTACAGGCCTCAACAAATTACAGTTTATGTTGTTAAACAGTCTTATTTGAGATGTATTGCTTTATTTTTCAATTAAACGTGGTTTTCTCCTACTTGTGTGTCTAATTAAAATTTTGTCTAGAGGCAAACATGGTAACATTTAACTCTCATAACTCACCCTGGAAGACATGTAGGAGATGACCCATTATTTTGCACTCAAAAAAGTGGATAGGAGAAAGATACCACATGCTGATGCTATATGTTGGGTTTAACTTTACAAACCTATTTTATCTTTATTTCAAATGTTAATCAACTTATAAAGGTATTTTATCAAGTGTTCACACAGCAGGATTTTCAGACCATGCTAGCAACCAGACAGAAAGCTAGTTAACTGCTTAACAGACATTTTTAAATGGAAAAGTTACCCTTAAATAAGGTATCAGGGTTCTAAGAATATATTGCCAAATACCATGTCACATACTTGTTGCGTGTTTAGCAAGTATTAATTACAATCTTCAGTGAATCATAACTTTATAGGAACCCTTTAGGGCTGCTCCTCAAAGAATAAACCCTCTCTGAAGGTTGTGATGTTTGTAGAAAAGGTGTGGCCCAGAATACATGTAAGTACATGTACTGTAAAACTAATAGAAATATGAATAAAGTACTAATTCCACGATACCACTTCATATGGAATATAATTTTCTAATTAGGCAGTACAGTTCTGAAAAAAGATGGGGAATGGAAATGAGTTATATCAAGAGATTAAAAGAAGATACAGAGACCTGAAAATGTGTGTTACAGCCTGCATCACCCCAACAGCGATTGTCCAATCCTTAGGCTGAGAAATGGGAGTGACTGCACTCTCACCCCGAAATGAGGAAGATAAATGTGTGTATTTTATTAGGTACTTGACTGGCAAACTTGCATTACATTATACCATGCAATTTCCTGTGTAATAAGATTTCTTAATAGATTGGTGAAGGATATACCATTGCAGAATGTAAGATGAACAGGCAGGGGAGTGAATACAGAGGAGACATTAATGAATTATAGCCATTCTAAGGAGGTTATGGAGAAGAAGAAAATACACAAGATGTGAGGGAGGAAATGGCATGTCTGTCTAAATGGGCAAAATAACGGTGCATGACACTGAAATTGTGAACAATAAGTAATCAGAGCACAGGTCAGGAAAAGTTGCTAGAATCCCATAAGTCCCCTTGTTCCTACTTGCCACTACTACCAACTTTTTTTTTTTTTCTGGCCATGCTGCGCAGCATGTGGGATCTTAGTTTCCCCACCAGGGATTGAACCCGTACCCCCTGCATTGGAAGCACAAAGTCTTAACCACTGACCACCAGGGAAGTCCCACCACCAACTTCTAATACCACAGATTGTTTTGTCTGTTTTTATACTCTTACAAATGGAAGCACTCAGTAAAAATTATATCTGGCTACTTTTGCTCAGTATTGTTTTGAAATATCTAGGTCAGTTTTGTAAATTGTCTTTTCTGTCCAGAACAGAAAAGCTAAAAAGTAGCTTCTAAAGCTACTTCTAAATATTTGTATGTGGAAGTTAAGTGTATTGCAAATGGTTCTTTCTCCATGCGTGTTGATACCTAGTGGTTCCATGTCTAGATAAAAGCTGAAAACTGACTGGTCTTCCCCTCGTAATAACAGGAAAAACAGGTGAAGAGTGTAACCAAATGGTTTTCCACTGAAACCAGGTAAGGATCTGACCTTTCTAATAAACTAGGTATAGGATGCTCTGTTTTCAGGGCATTTTGTAGGAACAAGGTTTTATTTTATTTTATTTATTTACTTATTTTTTTAACATCTTTATTGGAGTATAATTGCTTTACAATGGTGTGTTAGTTTCTGCTTTACAACAAAATGAATCAGTTATATATATACATACGTTCCCATATCTCTTCCCTCTTACGTCTCCCTCCCTCCCACCCTCCCTATCCCTCCCCTCCAGGCAGTCACAAAGCACCGAGCTGATCTCCCTGTGCTATGCGGCTGCTTCCCGCTAGCTATCTACCTTACGTTTGGTAGTGTATGTATGTCCATGCCTCTCTCGCTTTGTCACAGCTTACCCTTCCCCCTCCCCATATCCTCAAGTCCATTCTCTAGTAGGTCTGTGTCTTTATTCCTGTTTTACCCCTAGGTTCTTCATGACATTTTTTTTTTCTTAAATTCCATATATATGTGTTAGCATACGGTATTTGTCTTTCTCTTTCTGACTTACTTCACTCTGTATGACAGACTCTAGGTCTATCCGCCTCATTACAAATATCTCAATTTCGTTTCTTTTTATGGCTGAGTAATATTCCATTGTACATATGTGCCACATCTTTATCCATTCATCCGATGATGGACACTTAGGTTGTTTTCATCTCCGGGCTATTGTAAATAGAGCTGCAATGAACATTTTGGTACATGACTCTCTTTGAATTATGGTTTTCTCAGGGTATATGCCCAGTAGTGGGATTGCTGGGTCATATGGTAGTTCTATTTTTAATTTTTTAAGGAACCTCCATACTGTTCTCCACAGTGGCTGGGTCAATTTACATTGCCATCAACAGTGCAAGAGGGTTCCCTTTTCTCCACACCCTCTCCAGCATTTATTGTTTGTCGATTTTTTGATGATGGCCATTCTGACTGGTGTGAGATGATATATCCTTGTAGTTTTGATTTGCATTTCTCTAATGATTAGTGATGTTGAGCATTCTTTCATGTGTTTGTTGGCAATCTGTATATCTTCTTTGGAGAAATGTTTATTTAGGTCTTCTGCCCGTTTTTGAATTGGGTTGTTTGTTTTTTTGTTATTGAGCTGCATGAGCTGCTTATAAATCTTGGAGGTTAATCCTTTGTCAGTTGCTTCATTTGCAAATATTTTCTCCCATTCTGAGGGTTGTCTTTTGGTCTTGTTTATGGTTTCGTTTGCTGTGCAAAAGCTTTGAAGTTTCATCAGGTCCCATTTGTTTATTTTTGTTTTTATTTCCATTTCTCTAGGAGGTGGGTCAAAAAGGATCTTGCTGTGATTTATGTCATAGAGTGTCCTGCCTATGTTTTCCTCTAAGCGTTGGATAGTGTCTGGCCTTACATTTAGGTCTTTAATCCATTTTGAGCTTATTTTTGTGTATGGTGTTAGGGAGTGATCTAATCTCATACTTTTACATGTACTTAGGAACAAGATTTTAATAAGTATGTAAGGACTACATTTTCTGGCAGTATTGTGTAATGCTACCAGTGGAAACTTAAAGGGCTCCTGCAGTAGATATAGAAGAAGGGGGTAAATGCATCTTCCCTAGGATACTAAAAGCATTTAAAACAACCAAGCATATTTTCTTTGGCTAGGTAGCCTAGTTTTGATGATTCTGCAGTTTGATACTTACATGGTTTTGGACAAATTATGTAGCCTCTCATCTATGGATTGCGAAGATTAAGCATTAATACACAAAGTGCTGGGGACAGAGCCTGTTACCTTTACTATTACTGTGTATTCAGTACAAACTTACCAATTATGTTTACATCTGGCAGGTCTCTTCAGTCTGTATAAAATTTTGTCGGGAAAATCTGGAATAATTTTTTCCCCTCCTTTTAGAAGATAGAACCTAAAGGGTTATTATGTCTTTGCTAGCCTCAAGTTTTATAGGAACATCTGAGACATTGTCTTTGTCTCCAAGAAGTACAAATACTACAGACAATGAGAAATTCTAAATAAAAAGTACCTTTTAAAATAATCCTTATAAAGAGTAATCAGCTGATGATCACCCTTCTGTTTAGAAGAAAACTTACAATATTTGTAATATTCGTAAATCACTTGAATAACTTGTATATGATTACCTAGGTTATTCGGTAGTCTTTCAGACCTTTAAGGTTTTAAATCGTTTTTCTGACCTTTTTGAAAAGTTGATGAATGTTTGTTTAGTATTACTCTATACCAACTTTTTATGTTTCCAGATAGAATATTAAACTCATTACATTAATAATAATTTTAGTGGAAAATAAATGTTTCAGCGAGGTTAGTGGCACTGTTTGGCATCTTTACAGATATCTTTAATATCTGGCTTAATGGTTGACAGCTGGGTTCGTAGAACTGCATCTGCATTCAATCTGTTGTGATAGGTTGTTTTCGTTAAAGGATATGAAGGCTATCTAGTTTCACATAGTGTAGTTGGAAAAGGGAATATTAGTAACGTCAAAAAAAAAAAGATATTTGTGGATAATCTTTGATAATACACCAAACTCGGCAAATGGTAATCTGCAGTTTGAAACCATCTCAGACTTTTTGTGCACTGTAACAGTAAAATCCCATTTGTCTATCTTGCACTTGAACGGATCTTTCACCCATGAACGATTTTGTAACATTGTTTAATGGTC